AGATGAATGATGAGAAAACTTTACCTGGAAAAAGTCTGCGAGAAAAGTTATGTAAAGAAGTGGAAGGTACAAGGAGTGGTAGCAAACACTGGTGATCCCATACAACCTGCAAGAAAACATTTTGAGTTTTTTCAACATCCTGTGTTAGAAGGTAAATAAAAGCTGAACATAAGAGAGTATTCTCTGTTGGGATGGTTTCAGATAGACTTACCAGAATCCAAAATGAGCGCCGTTTGCAGTAAAGGCAGATGCAACTAGGGAGAGTCCATATAAGGCAAACATGGTGGTTATGTACTTGTAGAATGCAGGCCTTGCTGTTAAAACAAGAAGATATGTATGATGAGAAACCAATGAAGGCTATTAAGGGCACTGTAGTGTGACTATAAAGGAAGATGGAAGCGTCTGATTCAACTTACCAGGCAATCTTTCTCTCCATCTAGAGTTGTACATCAAGAATATCACCCCATAAACGGCAGTGAGTAGGAGCTTGTGAATGACCCATACTCCCCATTTGAACTTTTGTGTACTTTCGTTGTTGTCAGTAAACAATGGCACACCAAACCCAAAGAGAAAAATTGCCTGAACAAAGGAGGAAAACCCAGAAACACATATATGGTAAGGCCTCAACTTATGTCAGATATTTTTGCAGAACCAAGTTCAGCCATAACAACATGAAAGAATCTAAACTCGCAATTCACCATATACTTATGATTTCTCAATTCGTTTATTTCCATAAGGTGTATGATAGTAGAGATATGTAGTAGTCATGAAGAAGAAAATACCTTGAGAAGCAAATCAAGACCAATAATAAACCCCGAGATGAGGAAAGTTCTCGTTAATGCTTGTGCACCACTTGCATAGTTTCCTTGGAAGAGAAAAGCCACCAAGCTTACTTCCAGAAACAACATTCCAGACGTTGTGAACGAAGTCATTAGATTCCAGCCTAGTTCTTTCCCAGGAGTGCATTCCCAAGCCTGGAACATGCAAAATCCAAAATGACAAACAGGAAACACCATACACATGATAATCAAATCCTGGATAGGTAAGTGTTTACAAGATGACTCTGTAAAACATTAACTCAGTCCAGGGAACTTCAAGAAAACCGATAAATCAACAGTTCCCTGCAGAAACTACAGTACAGACTTGATTACAGATATGATCTTCTTTACGAATACATCTTATTCCATCCAATGACCAATGCCCATGAAGAATTTATGACCAAACAGTTTCTAATTTGAGTTTCACGAAGTCTTTCATCAAATCAAAGTTTTGATCTTTAATTACTCAGAAGAAGAAAGGTGAAGAAACCTGGAGGCAGCACCAAGCAAGATTGAGCAAGCTAACAAGCCAAAGACAGGCATAATAGGCGATCATGATGTAAGATCTCCGATTGGAGAGTTTAGAGAAGCTCTTCTTCGCCTCGTAAGCTAAGTAAGCCACAAAGAAGAGAGAAGCCGCAACAAGAAGCGTGTTGTGTAAGAATCCATGGCACCTATCGATCCATCCGCCGGTAAACCCACCACCGCCTCCGTATTCTGTGGCCGTCGAATTAGGGTTTAGCCGTGAAATCAGAAAAGGTGACTCCGCGATACCCCCGAGAAGTCGCATCGCATCAATGGTATGAATC